GTCCTTTCCTTGGGGAAGGACTCTAGTCTGAGGTGGCAAAGGGGTCCCTATTTCCAGGAGTGGATATTGCTGGAGTTCACTCTCCATTCAGATTCCACTCTGCCCCCTCCTTTCTGGCCCACTCCCTCCCCAGCCATGGCCTCCAAGAAGCCTCCTGGACTCACCCCAGTGGCCCAGGGATCCCTGGGGCTGCGAGCCAGCTGCCCTCTTCCTAGTCTCCTTCCTTCTCTACACAAGAAGTTCTCCCGTCTGCCCTGGCCAGGTGGCTCCGTGGGTTGGAGCACCATCCCACACACCAGAAGGTTTCCGGTTCTATCCCTGGTTTAGGAGTTTATGGGAGACAACCAGCAACGGAAGGATGTTTCTCTCTCTCCCTTCTTTTCTCTTTAAAATCAGCAAATATATCCTCGGTGAGAATTAATTTTTTTAAAAAGTTCTCCTGCCTGGAAGTGATTAGAGGCCCCCGGCAGAAGGCCAGACCACTGCGGAGAGCAGAGAGGAGAGCAGAGAGGGACGCTGGAGTCCTGCCTCCAGCCTGGGGGGGGGGGGGGCGGGGGGAGCAGCTCTGGGCTCTTCACCTTGGGCTCCAGAAGAGGAAAGGAGGGGAACCGGTGAGAGCTGCAGGCGCCCCACCTGCCCTGGGCGTGGGTGGTTGTCAAAGCTGTTTCCTGGGTGTATCCTGTGAGGACACTGGTGCGTAGCAAAAGCGGAGGTGGTGACCTCTGTCACTGCAATAACATCTTTAACACAGCCGTGGAGACCAAAGGGGCTTCCCCCGCACTAACCTTGCCCCTGGGTCAGCTGTTGCGCGTGAACACATTTGTCTGGGTGGGGGCCACATGGAGCAATGAACTTGTAAACCTGATGGGGGGAGGTTTGCTGCCACCCCTGGGACCAGAGTCTTGTTGACTATAAATAAGGAACTGACTGGGGAAGGGGTTTGTAACCTGCAGGTTCCTGGGTGGCACATTCCGGGGAGAAGGAAGCAAAGTGCGCAGGTCCAGACTCCAGACCCCACACCCCACTCAGGATTCTGGCAGCTCTCCTGTCCCACAGGGAGGAGGGGGGATGGGGAGGGACGGCAGGGGTGGGCCATCACTCAGGCCTGGACCAGAGTCAGCCAGCTCCTCTCAGGTCTCCAGGCCTGGGCTCTGGACCCAAGAAGGGGGCCAGTCACTACCTATTTCTGGGCCCTGGAGACCCCCTCTTTGCCCCAGGGGACAATCTGGGCCTCCGTCCTCTCTGCACCTCCACAGGGGAGGGCTGGCAGGGCCGCTCCTCTCGGTTCCTCCATAGCCGGAATATACTCCACCCCTCAGGGCCAGCTTGGGCCTAAGGAGGTCTCACACCCTCTCGGGCTCCTCTTGGGGCTCCACCCCCAAGTGCAGACTAAGCTCTCAGGTCCTCCCTCCCACCCCCACCCCTGGACTGTAAGTGGAGAGGGAGGGAGGGAGGGGCAGCTGTGCTGGGCCAGCTTCTCCCTGTACACACCCTGTTAACAGCCTCTGGCTCACCTCAGCCAGTGCTGCACAGGCCGGTTTCCTCCAGTGAGCTGGGCTGTCTGAGAATTCTAGAATTCGTCAGGCCAGGGAGAATGACCTTGGACCAGGAGAGATGGCAAGGGCAGAGGGCTCCCTTTGGCCCTGGAGGCCTTCCCAGGTTCTCTGTCCCAGACTTTTGGACTTGGCCCACCCCTGCAGGACAGGCACTCAGGCCACTCCAGGGACACCCGCTCTGAAGCCTGCACGGGCACACTCCAGTACATACGCCAGTACATACGCCAGTACCCCGGATGCCAGGCGCTCCCTCCCCCCAGATACACACATACAGACCTGTGCCATCACCTGACCATACACTCAAGTGTTCTCCCTGTAAGCACCCATGCTGAATACACTTGCACACACATACCCCTATCGTGGGTGTGCGAGCGTGCACGCAGGTTCCTTTTAACCTGCTTTGTCCAAAGTAACACATATACTCACATTTCCTTACTCAAGCTGTCACACACACCACACAAATCTTCACCCAAGTGAAAATGGGAACACACACACCCAGGTACATGCTTCGCCTGGTTACTTATACACACAGACATCCTCCCCCTGAGTGCACAGATGGTGTGCACACATTGATGTGAACACGCAGTGCCAGCTATTTCCCCATCCCGGAAATGCACACAACCTGCATTGCTACACAGGCCCCAAGAATACTCGATCACACGTACCTGCTGAGCGTTCCAGTGTACACACGCACATACCCTCCCACACCCCCCACATACACACACACACTCTCGGGCAGAGAGTTGGGAACTGTCTCTGGACTTGGGGTCTCCACGCAGGAGCAGAGCGATGACAAGGAAGTTCCTGCAGTTACTCGCCTGTCCTCTCCTCTGGGGTAGCTGGGCTGGGGGCCCCCAAATCTCCACCAGCAGAGGTGGCCCCTGCTCAGGCAGCCAATGGCATCATTCTCCTGGACCAAAAGTTCTCCCCCATTGTCTGGTTCTCCTCTTTCCCTGAGGCTAAAAAGTAGAGCCTGTGGACCCAGCAGCCTCCTAACCTCATCCACTGGGGGTCATACTCACTGACACGGGGGTGGGTGATGTAGTTTCGGGTGACCGCCTGCATGTGCTCACGAGCTGCGCCCAGGTTGCAATCACTGCTGGGGAGCCCCCCAGGCCTGCTCTCTACCTTCATGGCCATGGTGAGCTCGGGGCAGAGTGCCTGAGCCTGCTGAGGCCCAGCTGGAACTGGAGAGAGCTGACCAGCCTGCCCCTGCAGTCACCCTCCCCTCTTCCCTTCTCTCCACCCCCTAGTCGTCTGTTAAACAGGGAAACTTGGTTTCCTGGAGCAATTCCAGATATGGGAGGTGCCTTAGGCCACCTGAAGCAGGAAGATGGGGGAGGGGCGGGGTGGGGCAGTGGGGTCTGGCTGGCTTCTCTTGCCTCTGTCCTTGGCTAAAGCTCCACCTCCAAACGTGAACTCATTTCCTCCCCTGGAACAGGTGCTCTCACGGGCCCAGGCCCCTCCCCACACCTCCTCCTGGTCTCCCCACTCTGACCTTTGCACACGCAACATGCCCTCACCCTTTGCCCTTGGCCCTGACCACACAGGGTCCTTCTCCCCACACAATTCCATTATCATCCTCTTCTGAACACCTATGGAGGATCATTCTTGGGTCAGCTTCAGTGCCGTCTCCTACAGGAAGCCTTCCCTGATCCTCCAGCTCCCTGGACTCGCCACACACCTGGTCTCTTTCTTCTGTCATGCCCTCGAAGGGGACCAAAGTTCTGCCACACTAAAGCTGCCTTTTGGAATATTGATTCTAAGCTGGTTATTCAGAAACAAAAGACTTAGAAAGAAACTTTGACCCTCTCCACCTAAGAGATCAGATGGGAACACCTGCTCCAGGAAGGAAAGCTCAGCACAGTCACCTCAGCCTCAGACAGGGAGACTCCAAGCCGGAGCCTGAGGACTCCCCACGCCCCTCCCGTCCCATTGTTTTCTGGGTTGTCTAACAAAAGTTTACCTGCGGTGAGTGTTCTGCTCTTTCCCAATTACCTGCAAATCACCCATTTTTACTTCTAAAGTCTAAGACCCTGGTCCCCCCTTTCTCCTTTGTCCAAAATGACACATACACTAATTTTGCCTCACTGTCTTTGGAATATTCATGCTTATGTGGATTCCCCTTGTGCATGTATCAAATTCTACTTTCTCTTGTTAGTCCTTGTTAATTTGATTACCGGCCCAGCTAGAAGACCTTAAGAGGGGAGGAAGAGTGGTACTGTTGTGTTTTCAGCCCCCACACTCTTTCGGAGAGCCGTGGTCTGTGGCGTCACTGGTCTCCGAGGCCCCAGAGTTGCACCTGCGTCTCCTCCATCAGACTCAGGTTCTGAGAGCCTTTCTGTCCCATAACATCAACAGCTCCCTGGGGACCAAGGCAGGGCTCTCTCTGTGTGATCATGGAGCCCTGTCTCACCTTCTTATATTTCACCTCCAGGGTCCCAGGCAGCCAGCCAGCCTCCCCAGACATTCTTAGCCCGGGGGGGGGGGGAGTACAAACGGAGGATTAATTTTTTTGTGCCAGGTGGCTAAGGGAGCTGTGCATCCCCCCGGGCCAGCAGAGAGTGACACAGTTCTGCTGGGCGAGGCAGGGTGGGCACAGGGTGATGCCTGGGCGCTCCCAACTCAGGCTCTGCCCCAGCCACCCATGCATCTCATTCCAGACTCAGGGTTTCCCTCTGAGCACCCAGTGCTGGGTGACTCAGGGCAGCCAATTCGAAACCAAGTATGTGTTTGACAGAACAGCTTGGAGCAGACTATTACTCCCCGCAGAGCCCAGATCTTGCCCCGCATCCTCCAGACGAAGGGCCTGTTCAGGTCTCTGGTTCCCTTCTCACAGTTTGCCTTCTTTCTGAGAACTCTCTTGTGTGTGACTCTGAAAGGCTAGCACGGAGAGATGTTGCATTGACAGTTCTGATTTGCATGGCAGTGGTTGCCCACAAATCTCACACAGTGATGAAATGACACGGCCCTGTGCCCACACCGTACCCCTGCCAATTTTCTGGTTCTGACGTTACACCGTTGTCACAGAAGAGTTGGCCACTGGGGGAAACTTAGTGAAGAGTGCAAGACAGTTTCTTGACTATCTTTGCAACTTCCTATTAACCTACAATTATTGCAAAATAAGAAGTTAAATAAAAGTTTCTTATTTGAGCCTTGGCTGGTGTGGCTCAGTGGTCGAGTGCCGGCCTGTAAACCAGGGTCACTGGTTCAATTCCCAGTCAGGGCACATGCCTGGGTTGCAGGCTGAGTCCCCAGTAGGGGGCGCACAAGAGGCACCACACACTTATGTTTCCCTCTTTCTTTCTCTCTTCCCCTCTCTCTAAAAATAAACAAATAAAATCCCTTTTTAAGTTTCTTATTTGAGGAAAACATTTTCAGTGCTGCTGGGGGACTCCGTTTCCCTTCATCATCATTTTCCTTTTATTTCGGTGAGGGACACACACACACACACACACACACACACACACACACCACGCTGTCACACACAAACTTGGGGACCAAGGCCGTCTGGTCCTGGTCCAGAAAGTCTCTGAGCTGGGGGGCAGGTGGGTCAGGGCCTGTGGCCGCCCACCTCCACTAGGTCTGGTTGGGGGGGGGGGGTGCTGTGCTCGGGGACAAAGTGTCACATGGGGGTGCAGGCTTAAGCGTTTGCTTTCTTGGCGCCACCTGGGCTGCCCACTCTCCGTTCTAGCCTGCTGTAGCTCCGGCTGTAGGGCTCGAAGGCGGAGGAGCCCAGTTCATAGCCCGAGGGCAGGTCCGGGAGGGGCCCAGTGGAGAAGCGGAGCCCTGGAGGGGGCGGCAGCGGAGGGGACGCGGACGCCGAGGTCAGCGGGGCGACGCGCGGGGAGGAGTTCCTGGGGTCACCCAAGGAGGCGCCCCTGTGGCCGGCAGGCAGGCCCGACAGGCCAGGTGTCAGTGCCAGAAGGCTGGGGGCCCTGGGCACGGACAGCAGCCGGCCCTGCTCCAGCAGCCGCAGGACGTTGGAAGTGGCGAAGGCTTCCGACGCGGAAGAGGACGCCCGCTTCTCCAGGTCTCTGCTCTGGTCTTTCTTCTGTTTGGTGCGGCGGTTCTGGAACCAGACCTTCACCTTGGCGGGTCGGGGCCAGGGCATCAGGAAGGCAGAGGGGACAGGCAAAGCAAAGCGGGTGGGTGGGAGGAGAAAAGGAGAAGGAGGGCGTGGAAGTGCACGGGCATGGGGAGTGGGGAGCAGGGGTGGGGTGAGAGGGGAAAAAGAGCATTCAGATTGTCATTAAGGTCTCCCCGCCCCCACCAGCCCGCTCTGGGTCAACTGATAAGGGACCATGGGCCCCCAAATCATGGACCCCCTTCACTGTTGACTCTGACCTAGGATGGCGGAGTGATTTGGCAGATGGAGGGTGGAGTTGGATGGGCACAAAGGAAGTTCCTTTCTTGGCTCAAGATATCTTCCACTCAACCAGGTTCAGGGTTTCAGCCACCATCTATGTGCTGGTGATTCCCAGCTCGAGACCCAGGCCACTATCCAACTGCCTGTTAAACTCCACGGGCACAGATCCAGCTCAGATCCACTCCCCCACGCAGGGGCCTCCCCCACCCTCCTTCTTCCATGAGGGGCACCTCCCGCTACCTAAGCAGAAACCTTCACAGAGCTCCCAAGGTCCCCTCCCCACTTCCCACGGCGGGCCCTCACTTCCCTTGCCCCTCTCCCCTGGAGCCCGGCAGCATCTCCCCAGCTGTGCCTCTGCATTCCAGCTGTGCCTGGGAGAGCCACCGGGGGAGCCTAACTCACTCCTGACCTCAGGCCAGGCCAGTCAGAATGGGGGTGGCTGGGACCCTGACAACAGGAGCTTTCAAACTCATGAGGTGATCCCAAGGGGAGAGAACCACTGCTTGAAGCTCTCCCTGCCTCACATCTGAAGCTTGACTTTTGCAGGGCTGGGAGCCAGAGGGAACTGCAAGGCTCTGGCTCCTCGCCTGCCCTGATCTGACTGCACAATTCAGGTGCACTCTTCCAGGGGGCACAGGTCCTGTCCTGAAGCACAGTGCACTTTTGGGGGGGTGGCCTTCCCCTTGTCTTCTCCTGCCCACTGTGGTCTCCCTGGGGGCTGCCATCTTGTCTCCTCCCTCTCCTGGTTCATCTGGAGCTCAGTGAATGCTTGGTGACTTCACCCCTGATTCCTTGTGCTACCATGCAGTGACCCATGGCTACACACCAGGGGAGGGATGTGGTTTCCACTTGGCTGCCAAGACGGGGGAAGCATTTTCTGGAAGGTCATCCATCACCTTCTTCAGGCTCATGAAAAGTCATTGTTAAATTCCAAGAGTCATTGTTGATTCGGAAATGATGTTAATATTTAAGAGACTGCTTGCTGTGACTGTGGGTACATACTCAATCTGGGATGAACGGTACCTGTATATCTGGGTGGCCCTGGTTTTCCTATCCCAGACCAGGAAGGTACTACCTAGCCTGATGTTCTGGAAGAAGCCACCTGGGGCAGAGGTGACGGGCACAGGGACGAGGAGGGTCAGAGCTGCTCTTGTCCAAACTAAGTGGTGATCGTGTCAGTGTTGGGACTTGCCAGTTTGTCCTTAGTCTGGCATGTGGTCCCTGGTCCTGAAAACATCCCTTGGACCAGCAGAATGAGGGAGATCCTGCAGCCAGCCTTTCCTCTACAGCCACATCTTCTTTTCTTGTTTCCTACCCTGACCCTGGGACTCAGGTCGTTCATTCACAGAACACATAAATAGCAAGTACCCAGTACGTGCTCGCGTTGCCAGGTGCTGAGACAAGAATAAACAAAAAGTCCTCCTCTACCCACTTGGGTCTCGGACACCAGTAGTGGGAGAGATGGACAGGCCATCTCTGGTGGGTAGCATCTCTGGTGCTATGATGTGGGATTTTGGCAGAGGAGCAAATGATATAGTGAAGAAGACCCTGAGGTTGGACAGTCTGGGTTCAATTCTGGTTCTTCCCTTAATTAGTTAGATGACATGGGGCAAGTTACTCAACATCTCTGTGCCTTGGTTTTCCCATTTGTACAATGGAGACCATAATAATGCCTCCTCCTCGGTTTGTTGTGATGCTCACTGAGCTAATAATATGGACTTAGCATCATGCTGGCAGACACCGACGTCTTTTAAGCAGCACGATGGCCACATCAGCTCTAGACAGTCTGCCTGGAAACCTGTGGGCTGAGTGGAATCTGAGCCAGGGAATTTTAATGGGAGTCCAAGGGGTCCTACATATAGGAGGTTTGCAGACTATACCTTGGGAAACATTGCTTTAATCAAACACCAAACATTCTCCTGAAAACAAAGTATGGTAACAAAGTATACTGGGGGTGTCTAAAAACAAGGGGACCTGGACTGTGTGGGACCCTTCCTATTCCCTGACAGGAGAGGTGCTTTCAGCGCATGCACCCAGGGGGTGGGGGGTGGGGGGAGAATTCTTTTGATGGTTCCAAGAGAGATCCCTGTGAGACCACCTCCTGATCTCCAGGGCCTTCCTTCACTGCACGGCCTCAGGTTCTGGGCAAGGCCAAGGGTGGAAATCAGCTGTGCTCTGTCATGTTCACTGTTCCCACATCATAAGGACTCTTGAGCCTTCAGACTCCGTGGGTTGGGGGGGGGGGAGGAAAGGGCTTCACTGTTCTGCCCACCCTCTCCTGTACATAGGCTTCCTATCTAAATGTTCAGACAACTCAACTTAATTGGGTCCAAAGAAGTTAAGGAAAAGACTAGAAATTTGAATAAGTCCTGAGAAAGCCCTGTGTTTTCTCTGCTTGAATTAGGACCAGTCCTGAGCCCTCCTGGTATCCAGGGAAGAGGGTCAAGATCCCGGTTGGCAGCAGGAAGACAAGAGAAGCGAACAGGCACAGAGAGAAGCAGGCACTTGGAGAGCAGCCGGGCCATGCATTCAATGGAGCACCAGAGAGCAGGTCTGCCAGCACCCGGAGCTCACATCCTGGGTGGGCAGCGACCTTTGGCTTCCAGTCTCCACCAGACCTGGTTATACCGTGGTTCCTGTTCGTGGATTCCCACATGGCTGCGCCTCCTCTTTTGTCCCGTAGGAGTCGGTGCCTTATCTGAGCACACTTGAAGAAATCTCTTATCTTTTCTCCCAAAGAGCCCTGACCAAGACCCCTCAGATAAGTCAGAGAAAAACCAGCCAGCCACCAGAGAACAAGCTGACTTAGTTTCCACACAGCTCCACTTGGATCTCAAACTTCAGTGATCTAGAATAAAACTCTAGCTTCCTCTCCCACTGTCCTGTTCCTTTCCAACTTTCTCAACTTGTCGAGTAGCACCATTGACCATTTCTCAGCGTTCACGCAGTTATTCAAGTCCAAACCACTTCCCTTTCCCTTGTCCTGTGCACAGAATCCATGAGCGGGTCCTAGCAGGTCCTGTCTCCAACGAGAGCACATCTCAGAGCATTCACTGTTCCCCTCCACCACCACTCTGTCTAAGACAATATACAGTAGCTCCTAACTGGACCACTCTTGTTCCCATTCTCCGGTGGCAGCCAGAGTGACCTCTGAAATGCCAATCTTCTCATGCCACTCTTCATTCAACACCTCACCACCTCCAAGTACAACATGATCTGCCCCACCTATCCACTCTGTTACCCTCCAACTCTAGCCACACTGGCCTCCTGACACTTTTAGAACATTCTACTCCAGTTCCCACCAGCAGACCTTCAGTTACACTATGTCTTGACTTCTCGTCTCCTGGCTCCTCATGTAGCTGCCTGTCTCTTCCCTGTCATTCACATTTCAGCTCAATGTCATTTCCTCCAGAGGCTTTTCCTGACCCCCCTAATAAAGGATTTCCTTCTAGTCTCTATGGTGTCATGTTTTATCTCCCTCATAGTACTGTTAAAAAAGAGACAACATGGAGTCACCTATGCTAAGCCCACATCACCAAACTGAGACTCAATAATCCCTAACCTAACTGCAATTTCATTCTCTCCCAGGAACATAATCTTAGTCTGGCATTTCCTGGTCAGCACTAAGGAGATAATACACTGGATAGCCTCCTTCTGCCCCCCACAGGCAGGCTACTTACCTAAGCCTGAAACAATGCCCTCCAGCCTATGAAAACCTTCCACTCCGCACAGCTCCTGAAAGCTCCTTCTACTTGCCAGATAGGATGCTGCTCAATGCATGAATCATTCAGTAAAGCCAGTAAGACTTTGAAGTTTCACTCAGTTTATTTTCGTTATTTAGTAGCACTCATCACTGTAAAATGCTGTTTGCCTTTCTCATGTAGAATATAAACTGTGTGAAGGCGGGTTCACGGTCTGTTCCGTTCTCTGCAGTATCCCCAGTGCCTAGAACAGTCAATAATATTTATTGATTGATTTATTTAAATTCTCATTGAGGATATGTTTTATTGATTTTAGGGGGTGAGGGGAGAGAGAGAAACATTGATCAGCTGCCTCCCCTCCTGGGGACTGAACCCACAGCCTAGGCATGTGCCCTGACTGAGAATTGAACCCACAACCCTTTAGTGTACAGGACAGTGCTCCAACCAACTCAGAAACCTGGCCAGGGCTCCCATAATATTTTTGAACAAAGGTATGAGTGAATATACTGAGAATTCCACAGAATTCTAGCTATATAACCTTGGGTAAATTAATTAACCTCTCTGAAGCTCAGTGTTCTGCAATGGGAACAATATTATCTAAGGCCATTTTTTAATAAAAATTAGAAAAGCTAATAAATATGCCCACATTTAATTTCTTTGTGCTTCAGTTTCTTCCTCTTTAAAGAAGGCCCCCGGGCCCTGGCTGGTGTAGCTCAGTGGATTGAGCGTGGGCCAGCGAACCACATGATGGCGGTTCGATTCCCAGTCAAGGCACATGCCTGGGTTGCAGGCAGGTTCCCTGCAGGCCAGTTCCCAGCAGGGGACGCACGAAAGGCAACCGTACATTGATGTTTCTCTCCCTCTCTCCTTCCCTTCCCCTCTGAAGATAAATAAATAAAATCTTAAAAAATAAAGAAAGAAAAGAGGCCCCCGGGACTTGTGACTGGCATCTGACATGGGACTGTCCTGTGAGACTGAGCCCTTACCCCGTGGGGCCTGCGCTACCTCCAGGGATTGGTGTAACTGAAGGATTAAGTGGAACTGAACTGTCGGGCACCCAGTCGGTGCTGGGGAGTCGGCTGCTGTTGGTGCTGGAAAACACCACACATTTAGTGTGAGAAGTGGTGTCGGAAGAGAAACCTCACGCCTACCTTTTGGGGGCCTTGTGGTGGTGAGGACTAAAGGAGTTCGAATACGTCAAGCACTCTGAACAGTGCCCGGTGCACAGGAAGCTCTCAATAAATAAATGTCAGCTATACTTTATATTATCTGCAAAATCTCGGGTTGGGGAGGAGAAGGGAGGGTGAGAGCAAAACTCAGTAAGGTGAGGATTCCTCGAGGACTTGCTGTGCGCCCAGCTCCGTGCTGGGCTCTTCCAGGAGGTCTGGGGAGACATGGCCTCCACACACACCGCACACATACACTGTAGTTCAAGCCATGTAGTCAAGTTTGCTTGGGAGGAGGGGAAGCTTCCTAGAAGAAGAGGGGCTTGGCTTTGACCTTCAAAGGCAGGTAAATGCAGGTGTGTGGGGGCAGGGCAAGGGGGATGAGGACTGAGGGGCTGCTGACCTGGGCATCCGAGGTGCACTTGGAGAGCAAAGTCTCAGGGGAGAGGCTGGGGCAAAATTAGGTGAGGCAGAGGGTAGTTAGGATGAAGGAGGTGGGCAGGTGTTGAGGACTGACTCTGGGCCTAGACTTTGGGATTTGAATCTGTCTCTCTGCCGGCCACCAGGAGCTCAGGCCTGGTCCAGCCACTGCAGCTTCCTCCGTGAGCACAGCCCGGCTTTCTAGCCCCAGGCTCAGCCCAGCTGGAGGGAGGGCCCAGCTGCCGTGGGCCCTCTGCTGGGTTGTTCGGGGCTCTACAGAGGCATCTGGAGGAAAACAGGTCCAGGTGGGGAGGGTCAACCTGGGCCTGCAGGACATCAGGTCCCATCCTCCCTGACCTTCCCGCCTCCTCTTCTCGCCCCTCCCCACCTCGCTCTCCGCCCCACTTGGGGTTTACCCCAGAAGGGTGAGGAAGTCCAGGAACACCTGGCCGCTCCATCACGAGGGGTGCACTAGAGCGCACCCTGTCAGTGTGACTGGAGGAGCTGGAGGAATTCCGAAGAGAGAGGGGTGCGCTCCGCACCTGGCTCCCGCACAAGGAGTGCCCGCGAAGAACGGCGGCTGGCAGTTCAGGGAGAAGCCTCACCGTCCTCCTCCGTGCCTCCCACGTCCCTCCCCTGGAAGCGCGGCTCCGCCTACCGGCTTCCTTACTCCTCTCTTCCCTCTCTTCTCCTTACAGACCCTGTTTGGGCTTTGCTTGCAATACATCTGTTGACTGATCCCCCTCATATACAGGGTTAAACGACTAGAGCTGTAGCTAAGGAAGGGTCTCTGAGTCACCCTTGGACAAACCCTAGGCTGACCGCCCAGTTCACCGGGGGCATGAAGATGCCCGCCTGCTTCTCCAAATCCCTGCTCTGGAACACCTTGGGTGTATGACTCTAGGTATAATCTTTCCTCATCTGTAAAATGGGATAATACTGGTAGCTGTATCAAGGGATTAGCCATTGCCATATACAGAATTGTAACCGAGCAGACACCTTATTTTCTCTAACTGGGCTTTTATCTTGATTTTTTTCTTTTGACTCAGACTGGCCTGACCTAGTGCCCTGACTCACCCACCTCCCTCTCCCTTGTTTAATCATTAAGTCCTCAGGACACTGAGGTTTGGTCAATCACCAGTAGTCTTGGGAACAAGGTCCTAGGTCTACTGACCACCAAGACAGAATTTTCAGTTAAGCTAAACAAAAATCTTGGCCTCAGTTGTGTTTTAGCTCTGGGCCCAAGAAAGTGAACGGATCCAGCAGAACTGTCTGTTCCTTGCCAAACTGCACAGAACAACTGCGTGGCTGATGTCAGGACCAGATGCAGCGATCAGTCACCCCCTACCCGAACACCAGCCAGTCAGCAGAGACCAGGACCCTGATTCGATTAGCCACTGTGACTAAGGATTTTCCCGACATAATCTACCCCCTGGAAGCCATCGGGGAGCCAGGTCTCCGAGTATGAGCTACCTATGACTCTGGGCACGGGGCCACCTCCTTAATAAATCCTTACTTTCTTGGTTGGAAAAAAACCAACAACCACAGCAAAAGTTGTTGGCACAAATACCAAGTAAGTATTATTATCATTGTTGTCACGGTGTAGTTCCGCTGCCAGCTTGAAACACCTGCGTTCACGTAGAGCAGGTACTCAGCTTACAGAAGCTTCTCCTTTGGGTTCAGCATACTATTGTTAAAATGCTAAGCCCTTCTTGGGTGAAGCGGGTATTCGGACCTCTTCTCTATAACAAGAGGTTCTGAGCCACACTGGGATGAAGGGAAGGTGACAGAGGGTGGGAAAAGGGGAGGATGGGAAAATAAGGTCCTGGGGGTGTAAAGTCTCATCTCTCCCCGAATCCAACCAACCCCTCACCATCCCTTTCTGCAAGCTTCTCTCACATGCCAACACCCCCGGAGCCACTCTGTGTGAGAAAACCCAAGGTTCCTCCGGCCTTTCCCCCAGTCCCTCCAAACTGCCTGATGCATCGGGAAGTCGGCAGGCACCAACTCTCTTCCTGTCAGCACTGATTTATTTCTCTGGCTTACCTGTAACTTTATGCCTGTCCCTAGTGCATGTCTGAACTCCTCCAAGTTGGTTCTCACACCCAGGGAGTTCCCAGGAGGCCAGGGCAGGGGTGGAATGGCCCGAAAGTCCTCTTACCTGGGTCTCCGACAGGTTCAGCTGGCGAGCCAGCTCAGTGCGCTCCCGGCCCACCACGTACTGGCAGCGCTGGAACTCCAGCTCCAGGCGGTACAGCTGCTCGGCCGTGAAGGAGGTGCGGGTCCGCTTGGGCCGGTCCAGGTCCAGGCCCTTGGGAAGGACAATTTCCCGGATGGTCCCTTTGGCATCTGCAGGGGCCATGAAAGGAGGCAGGTTAGTTCCCTAGTTGAAGAGTTAGGACACAAACAAACATCTTAATTACATGTTTACATGGCTGACGTGTACGCCTTCTTGAGCGTGGGCCTGACTGTGTGACCTCTGACAAGTTGCTTACCCTCCCTGGACCTAGCTTCCTTAATCACTCAATGCAACATGTCGCATCTGATGGGCGTATGTATGTGAACGGGCCTCAGTACAAATGTCAGGTCTACTATCACTCACTCTGGCTCAGCCAGGGTTCTGTTCTCTCAGCAGAGTAAGGAACACCTGGAAAGAGATATACCAAGTCTCCAAGTGCAGAGGAAAAGATGGGCTAGCACTGGGTTGGTCAGTTGGTCAAGGATGCCTTGAGGAGATGTCCCGAGCCAGGTGCTAAGCCCAGTGTGTGTGCACATGGGCTGGCAAGCACTCTGCACAGTCTCTCTGGGGCCCATGGGGAGGCCAGCTGGTGGGAGGGAGAGGACGGCCTGGGGATCTGGGGTCCCCGGAGGAGCCCAAGGACCATTACTACTACATCAAGCTGGGGTACCTTCTACAGGGGGGCTGCTGCCGCTCCACAGTTACCTAGTTCTGAGTGGCAGAGCCACCCTCCCGGGCCCTTCATGCCCAGGGTCACCAGTATTCTGGAGCCTACTTGAGAACCCTGTGGCCCACATTCACCAGATGGTCCCACTTAAATAACTCAGTAACAGCACGAGTGTGTTCAGCAGAAGTCAAATGTTTGGGGCAGGGGCTGTTATTTATTTACACATCAGCTTTAATGATAGGGACAAAGGTGATCCATATTTGAAGCATACACATGGATGGCTTGAAACCTAGTTATTAGAAAGTTTTATGTCGAAGGTTAGAGTGTGGAAATATGCAGCACTGTATTCTGTAGGATTTGCCAAACCACACCCAACACATGATGTCGGTGATAATCAAGCTACACTAGCAGAAATTTACCATTACTTAGGAAGGTTAGCATCAGTGGGAAGACTTAACCAACTCAAGGTGGCCCTGGTCAAGGCACTCTCCACTGCCGCGGGAGCGCCGACCCCTGTAGGCAGCGTGGCGGCCCCCACTTATGTTTTCCTCCTAGTCATAGCTGACACCTCTGCAATGCCTGCTCTGAGCCAGGCACTGTTTTAAGCACTTTAACCCTTCCAGTGTCTCACTGAAGTTGGAACTACTATTATTCTCATTTTACAGACATGGAAAGAAACACATTTTAAGTAACTTACCTGAGGGTGCACTAACATTGTTCAGTAAATTCCAGAAACACCCTCATTTTATTTTATGAGTACCCTCTTTTATTAAGCCTTAATGATTCAACTGATAGGTTATAATGAAGAAGATTTTGATCATGGAGGAAAATGGAACCTTCTGGATGGGTTCAGCATTGCCCTGAAAGGCATAGGAAAGGACCTGCGTCTGGGATGTGTGTCTGTCAGGAGGCTCCATGAGAGCCACAGGACTGTAGACCCTACCTGGAGAATCCCTGCCCTGAGGGTGAACCTGAGACCTCTCCCTCCAAATCCCCCACCATAAGATCCTAGATTGGTTCTTCCCGGTTCCTGCCAGGGCCCGTTCACTCCTCCAGGGGGCGCTTTAGGTCGTCACGGGCTCTGGCTCGCAGGTTCTGCTCTGGATCTCAGAGGTTCTCAAGCACCTTCGTGTTCACAGTCAACCCTCCGGGAGGAGAGTCTGGGTGGGGGACACAGTCACTGATCAGGGGTGGCCCTCCCTCCACCACTGTGCAGGTCTCACATAGGGGTGCCAGGCAGAGCAGGACAAATGAATGTGGGCCCTGCTCTTGGAGTGCACGTAGGAATCGTGGGCCTTTGGGGACGACTCAATCTTCCCCCTCCAAGTCTTTCTATATTCCAGAAAGGTGCGGTAATGTTTGTGACCCTGTCGTGACTGGGTCCCCTTTGCTCAGATCCCACTATTTCCAATTGTGAGCCCAATCTGAGAATGTCCTCACAACCTCCAAGTGACTCCATCTCCAAAGGCACTGGGTTTTATTAAAAGTGTCTTGGGGGTGTGGTGCGGAAAGCATCACCTCCTCTCCCCTGTAAGCTCCCCAGATCTTACTGGAAGCTTGGAGCCTCTGCTCCTAACCACTGAGGTCAGACCATCCACCATCACCTCCACACTTTCTTCCTTGTGGGAGAGCTAAGAGGAGCATCCCCCACCCCCCCGGGAGCAGCCAAGGTCAGCTGTTTTTCTCAGGGTCAGGGTAGGCAAGGACCATGTAAGAAACGCAGCCTCAGAATTGCCTGCTGGGTATCAACACATGCCATACAGATAAGCATCTGAGAAGATGCTCAACATTGCTAGCCATTAGGAAAAGACAAATCAAAACCAAAACATATTAGCATAGCTAGAATAAAGAACACTGAGAGTGCCAAGTGCTGGTGATGATGCGGAGAAACTGGATTTCTCAGACATTGTTGGTAGGAATGTAAGTGGTTCAGCCACTACAGAAGCCGACCTGGCAATTTCTTGAAGAGTTAAATGTATACTTCCCATAGAACCCCACGATCACACCGCTGGGCATTTATCCTGGAGAAACAAGACCTTAGGTTCACATCAAAGACAATTAAAAAAAACTGTGCATGAATATTCATAGCAGCTTTAGTTGTAATAGCACCCAAAAGGAAAAAACACAGATGTCCTTCATTAGCTGAGGGCTTAAACAAACAGTGGTGTAGCTGTACTCTGAGACACTACCCAGCAAACAAAAGGAATGACCATTGATGGACATGACAATTGGGACAAATCTCCTGGTCACTAGCTAAGTGGAAAAAAGTCAGTCCCCCAAATTTTGTGCCATATGATTGATTTCATTTATATAACACCATCAAAATGACAGTTATTGAGGAGGAGCACAGATTCGTGGTTGCCAGGGATTGGGGGAGGGTGTGACTATAAAGGGGTCGTGCGAGGAAGTGCCTTGATAGTGACGGACCAGTTCTGTATCTTGATTGCGGTGGTTGTTACAAGGACCTACAAATGTGATAAAATATCATAGGACTATATATAAAAGCAAAATATAAGTGTAGGCAAAAAGAAATCAACTCTGTAGGTCTATAGACTAGTCAATTATATGGTGCCAGTGTCAAGTTCCTGAGTTTAATAATGTATTATAGATATGTAAGATGTTACCATTGGGAGAAGGTAGTGATGGATACACAAGACCATCTTGTGAGTCTGAAATTATTGCAAAATAAGACAACAACAACAACAATAAAACACTCCATGAAGCTAGACTGCTGTGCTGTCACAGAAATGCACAAACCCATTAGTGGAAAGAATGCCGTCGTGTTTCCCCGGTTTTTCTGCATTCCACTTGTGGTTTGTAAGATGATTTAAAATGGCAATGTTATTTCATTTCAGTGGTTAAGCACTTATTTTAATGTTTACTAGGAAAAAAGGTAAAGCTATGATTTTATGTGCTTAGGATGAAGCTAAAGCAGGTATTTAACTTTAAAAGGCATTATGCTACAGTATTAAATAAATGGCACAGGAATATAACAGAAATGATGGAGATAGCATCCCCATGGCTAGATACTGGGGAACAATGGAATCAAGACGACACAATCAGACCCACATATGTATAATGATAGAGTCTATGGTCAAGACAGCATTCTAAATGGGGAAATCTGATCTAGTCAATAAGCGGAGTTAGGTAGATTAATGTCTACAAATTATGTGTTTGGAATAAAATTAAATTATATTCCTGCCTAGTACCATAAATAACAATAAGTTTCAAATGAATGAGAGCAAATCATAGACTATGAAATGATAAAGGCACTAAAAGATATATAGGAGAGTATTTTTATAATCCTAAGCTTCATGGAAGAGCTCTCTCAGCATGAAACAAAACTGGAGCTGAAAAGGGAAAACAAACGATGTATTTGACTATATTAAAGCTAAAAAGGTTTTATATGACAAAAGCACCAAACCAAGGTAAAATGCAAAAGCAAACAAACAAACCAGAATTGAAGAAAATACTTTTTTTAAAAAGGCGGAGAAATAATATTCAGAATATATAAAATTCAATTACATATAAGTGTTTTTTTTAAAAGGGAAATAGTGTAGTAGAAAAATGCTCAAGTGATTTATCTTGGCCATTTACATAAAAAGATGCTAAATGGTCAATAAACATATGGAAAGATAAGCACAGCCTCACAGAAATCAGGTAATACAAGTTCAAGCAACAATGTGAAAATCATTTATCTCCTGTAAGATCGGAAAGGCATTAAAAGATGATAAATAAATCAGGGATGCATTGTAAGAAAGTCTGCACTCCCATTCAGAGCCATCAATTATCATGACTTTTAAGGCTGCATTTGGCAAGATGAAAGATGCACATAACTTTTGCCCTGACAATTTTATTTGAGTAGGCACTTTTTGAGAAAACCACAGGTTCATGTTCTCCGAGGTATGTATAAGGATGTCTGCTGCAGCATCACTCAAAATCTGAACGCATCCTCAATGTTCCCCACAAGGCAGATGGCTGAACAACTTATGGTAATTCACACTACAAAATACCACGTAATTAAAAAGAATGAGGACTCACTAGTAATTTAAAATGCTGATAAAAAATAATTTTTTCACTTGAAAGATTTTATGCTAAAAGATTGAGTGTATCCTGGGATGGGAGGATGTGGAGAAATAGCACGTTTATACCCAATGGCTGGGAGCATGAATTAGTACATTTTTGATTTGGAAGTATCTATCACAATTTTAAGTATATATACTTAGATTTCAAATATCCACTTCTAGAAATTTATCCTGTAATTATACTCATACAAGATATATGTAAAATGATGTTTAGTTAAAATATTTTACTTTGAGAAAGTTTAAACATACACAGCATTAGAGAGAACAGTAGAGAGAGCCCTGATACACCTACCTCCTGACCTCAATAGTGATAATTTCAGGAAAACCCTGCTTCTTCTACATCCCAACAACCACAATA